GTTTTTCTTCTAAATTACTATCATATAGTAATAGGTTCCCTACTTCTGAATTCTCTTAGAGCTTCTGGAATAAACCCACTTGTTTGTGCCTCATTCCTCTTAATTATACTGCTGAATTCCCAAATTATCAATGAAATTTCTTCTACTCCCCCTGGCCCCTCCTCTTAGCTATGGAAAGCAGCAGGGCATGAGAGAACATCATAAATGAAGTAAAACAAAGTATTAAACAATAAAGCCCAGTATAGTTGCTGTGGTAGGCTGAATAATGGTTCTCAAGGATATTCGTGTCCTAATACTTGGAATCTGTGAATGTTACCTCATATGGTAACAGGGAATGCACAGATATGATTAAGTTAAGGCTCTTGAGATGGAGAAATTATCGTGGATTATCCGGGTGGGCCTTAAATTACAAGTGTCCTTTTTAGAAGGAGACAGAGAAGGACTTGAAGACAGAAGAGGAAGAAGGCAATGTGATAATGGCAGCAGGAGGAGAAAAGGTGATCTGATACAGCCATTAACCAGGTAATAAGGACAGTCTGTAGAAGTTGGAAAAGGCTAGGCAATGGATTCTCCTCTGGAGTCTCTGCAGGAAGCATGGCCATGGTGACATCTTATTTTTGGCTCAGTGAAAGCCATTTTGGATCTCTGGATTCCAGAACTATGAAAGAATTAGTGTGTGCTTTTAAGCCACCAGGTTTGTGGTAATTTGTTAAAACAGACGTAGTACATGGATAACCTTGCCTTTAAGGCTGATGTAAAAAAATTCTTTCATCAAGGTAATTACCCAAATGACAGCTTAATGGCAGTTTAGTTGAAAAACAAAACAAAACAAAACAAAACATAAGAAGGTCCAGTCAGTAGTGTCTTCTTAGAATAACATCAATTCACTTATGTACCATACGAAATCACTCACATTGTTTTTAAACAGGAAAAACCTTACCTAGTAAACAAAAGTTATCTCTGCCTGAGGTTACGCACACAATTTTAGCCTAATTTAAAAAGATTCAATTTACTTACCTCATCCCATTCTAAAATAAAGCTTTGGATTTTAGAACCATTGTCACTAGGTGCCTAAAACAAATAAAATGAGTATAAATTAGTACTTTTGTAAAAGATACCATGATGATCTAATCTAAGGACTCTATAACTGTTGTAGATGTTCTCTGTGACTTAGCCCTAGAAAAATTTGCACAGAGAATACAGAAATATATATTTTGTATACACCATAATGCTTTTAAATGCAAGGAAAAAAACCAAAGCAATAGGTTACTCAATTTTTTTTGAGCATTGAACTATCTGTTTAAGTAAGAACTATCCTAACTTTTATAATTGTTAAAAAAAGAAAAAAAAATCAGCTTCAAGTACCTAGGACCGATCCTGTCATTTTCATTACAACTCACCTTACAGTCTAAAAATAATATTGTGTACTACACCACAGAGTGAAAGAACTAGGGTGCTGAAAGAGGGCATACTATCTGGATCTCTGCTTCTGGACTCGGTGCCAATTACTAAGGCTAATTCATCAATCTGTTAATCTTCAGTCTCCCTTGACATTTTAGTCCACTATTTAATCAGTCATGAATTTCAACCTTATTTTTATCTGAACTTTCTATTTCAACCTATTTCCTCTTTAGTCCTTACTTGGATGCAGAACAAGTAATCACTACTGTCCTTATAATAACTTCATCTATTTGAAGACAACTGACTCAAAGAATTAATTCTCTTATCAAAGTTAAATAATCTTAACTTTTTAAATGGTTCTCCAGAGAACTTCTATAATTTTCTGGACTCTATACAGTTTTTATATAATTTTGCCAACTATGTAAAACAACAATCAAGGATCATCAAGTTTTTAACAGAATCTTTTATTATGTGGAGGTCCAAATTATTTGTTGAATACTAATACAAATAATGTATNCTAGATCTTATCATTATTTTTATTTATTTAATAAGCCAGTATACATTTCCTTCCAATAATTAGTAATTTGTTAAGATGTGGTTTAGGGACACAGTTTTTCCACACCCTCTCCAGTTATGGGGAGGGGGGGATAGAAGGGGGGGGTGCTTTTTGGAAAAGCCTATTGTCTCCCTGGAGATACAGATTGTATACCCTGCAATTTGAGAGTGACTGCCACAGTGAAACAGTTTTAAATAGAAACTGGTGATCTGTTTATAGTGGATCAGTGAGGAATTTACTCTTATTTGTGTGTATACATTCTTGTTCCTATGTGGTAATAACACCATGGTGTTAGAATTCTAAGAATTTTAATAAGCTTATTAAATTATAAAGAAAATTAACAACTCCCCCTTAGAAGACCTGTTGGTATGATAATCATTACTGAAACAAAAATATAATCCAGAATCATCATAGAGGACAACTGGAAAGAATGTATGTACTTCTCAGGTTTGTAAATCCTGTAAATATGAAAATTGTATTTAGAAATTAAAATGACCCAGTGTTATCAGAAGTTTTTAAAATGGAGCTAATATAAAGTATAACAAATATAAATTATGTACTGCATAATCAAATTTCCCATTATCATTAAAATATTCTTTCTACGGTTCTTAAAGAGTAATAAATTTATTTTTGTTCTTTAATAATGAAAACAATTTACAGTGGCTTCTGTCATTTATTTGAAATGATTTGATTAAACAAGCACTAGTAGGAAAATTCAAATGCTTAATTTATCAATTAATGAGTATCCTGTTATATTTTGGGGAAAACTTCTGCACAAAAAAATAGGCTGGCTTATATTAACTGGTATATTAATAAATTCAAGCGCTGGCTGTCAAGAAACANGGGTAGGTGGTACACCTTTTTAGGTGATGTTCTAAAATTTTATTGGGGGAGGGAGGAGAGGTGTTCTGATCATCACAATACCAGCGGGAGGAGCAGCTGGTGATTAGAGGGTGGGGATCAAGGATGCTAACAGTTCTGCCGAGTGTGGGGCATTCGGTACAACAGAGAATTATTCTCTTCGTCTAGGAGAGACTTTGGATGTCCTACTAGACATCTATGTAGGTGAAATATCTGTTTATAATTATATGAGCCTAGAACCTAATTTCATTTTACAAGGTATTTTTTGGTATAGTTTGAACAGTTACTGAATTTTTCCACAATTCAACTATTGTGCAATTAATTGGGAAAGACTGTACTTATATATTATTTCAGAAAATCATGTCACCAGTGACTGCTGTCTGGTATTTGAATGACCAATTCTATCCACAGTGCCTGTCCACTTTATTACATCTTGTGTAGCTAGGTCCAAACATTTACATATCGAAATCTATATTACTCTATTAAGAATAATTTTATTCCTCCCTTTAAGGCATCATATTGATATTTTAAAAACTGAGTGTAGTTATTATGAACCTCATTTAGGATAAAATTCAGGATATAAAGTTGTTACAATAAAAATAAGTAATGAACTTAGAATTACCATTGTGACACTCAATATCATCATCACATGTCCAGTATCATAAGAAATGCTCATTATAAAACAATCTTTCCTGCTATATTTACATATAGTAAAAAAACAAAACAAAAACCCAACAGGAGTATTATTTTAAGACATAAAACCAAACGCCTATTTAATATATGTAAAGAACAAGAGCAAGTTAGCTTAAAGCACTTTTTGTCTCAAAAAATACTGCAAAATTAATACTATGGGGAGGGGGAAGGAAATAAATGTCCAGCTGGAAATATTCTAGAGAATATTCTTACCTTCCATTGCAAAGTGAGTGAATTTTTGGTCCGATTGGCTATCCTTGGTGGGTTAGGTATATCAGGTTCACAGCTCAAGGTGGTAAAGCTTTCAGCTTCTGAAGGAGTTCCCTTTATAGAATTGTATTCTGCCTGGACTCTATGGTGATAAAATAAAGTCACAATCTGCAGAAATCATTGTTTCCTGCCCGTCAATAGTATTTCCTTTAAATACTTGCAAGTTAGTAAGGTACCCTCTAAATGTTCTGAGAAAATATGCATATTAGAAGGGTGGCTGTTAAAAACAAAAAAAACAAAAAAAAAGGATAGACCAGGAGCTTTCATCTTTGACTGCAACCCAAAGTAAAAAATACATATTAAATTGTGACATAACTGTGTCTGTGCAACATGTTGTTACACATAGGCTCACAAACACTATCACACATACACATGTGTGGAACAAGTGTCTGAAACAATATCCTTAGTTAGGGTAATATACTGATACTTTCTATTCCATTTGATTATATTAAAATTTTTTAAAAATGCTGAATATAACCTACAAAATTAACTACATGATTCAATAATGGTTGCAATCCAGTTTGAAAAATTAGATTGGACAATAGTTTGGGTTCATCCATATGAAGTATAATTGAAGACTTCATTTAATAGGAATAATCCTAACCATAAATGTTCTTTTTAAAAATGGAGGTGACTAACTAAATGCATTATACTGAGTCCGAAGCAGGGAAGACTCTAGAGTCTATAAAATTTTGGTAAATTATAATGGAAGATTGATCTATGCAGAGTAAAACAGTATGTAAGTTATCCCAATTAAATGTGAAATTCTAGGAGTTTTAATCTCTCAAACTCTTTCCAAAACAGGATGTAGTAAAAATACTAAGTAAGTACACACCAAGTACTATTTGATTCTGTTTTGTAAATATTTCAAAAGCTGGGACAATTTTCTAGTGCTAAACTAGATACTGTATACACATTATACATATTATCTATATTCACTCCAATCCCAACAGGGTGCTGTAACCTTTCAATATATAACACACAAGTTAAATGTTTTTGGGAAAGTATTGATAACTGTATCAAAAAAACCAAAGTCTGTGTTTATTAAATTATAATTAATTTATAATTAAATTATATTCTAGACTTTTAAGGAAATGATTAAAAATAAAACTACCTATGCTATATCATATAAACACACCACATAAGAATTCCTTACTTTGCATGGTAATCCGTAGCTGGTTTGAGATCATTTAAAGTAACACTTGTTTCTTCTCCTCTGAGGGGAAAAAGGTAATATTTCATTGATTGATAAATATAGCATTTTCAGAGGATATGCACTATAGGTACTTTATGAAATTAGACTGCTTTTTACTTTACCAAATGTTGACCATATTGAAATTCCATTTATATGGAATTTGTATAATTAGGATATGTGCCCAATTTAAGTATGTACCTGCATAATACTTTAAAACAAATAGGTATGCTAAGCAAATCAATTGTGTAAGCCAGACTTTTTTGAGTGGAGTGAGAAAAGATATTTAGCTTATTGGAGAAATGGAACCATTTTTGATTTAAAAATCCATTTTGTACATAGTTAAAATGTGAAACAACACATGTACTACTGAAATCAAAACTACCAAATTTTTACAAGGAATCTGCCATTATTGCATGTTATTGGAATATGATGTGGAACTTTGTTGAAAATGTTACAGCTTAAAGATAAAAAAAGTCATGATTTAAAGTAAAGCATTTCACATGGCCACTATTACATTTTAAAATACAACAGCACATATCTTCTTAAAATAATCATTCGATACAAGTATTACTTAGTACGTAGCCAACAAACCAGCCTGTTTTCTGAACTTCTCCCTCCTCCCCCTGGCCCACCCCTGCCCCTTCTGTTTTCAAGTTATCCTTTTCTCAAATCAAAGCCAGTAAATATTATGAGAAAGAAAACATATCTCACTGGTGAAAATGCTTTCATGAATTAGGCAGTTGCAGCAGCGTCTTCGGAGAGAGACCTGAATTGGTCTAGGGTAAAGAAGGTGACTAATGTCCCTCTTGTGCTCTCAGGCTACAAATGGAGAAAAATCCTCCCTCTTAGCAAGCAACCAAGCACAGCTAACCAGAAATGGGGACGGACGGATGGATGCGCACACACACACACCCCCGCTTTGTCCCTTATTTACCCTTTAGGTAAATAGGTTTGTCTTTTTTAAGAAAAATGAATAAACACAAGGAAGTCTCAATAGAGATAAAGAGACAGGACACTTTTATTACCTTATGTTACTAGATGATAGTCACTGGGGTAGTTTCACTTTCCTTTCTTCACTATAGTAGCTATTTTTTGCAAAAAGATACCAAGAAGGCTGATTTACCTACCCAGTGTTCTATGTTATGATTATTTGAATGACTAACCACTCGTTTACAATCTTCCTTGTGCTTAAATAACTAATAATCAATTTTACTCTTTACGTTTTTCATTAGAATAAGCAACTTCTATATAAATAAGGACAGAAAAAGAATTTATTTCATAACTGTCAATCATAAATGTCAAAATTTTAGCACTGACTCTTTCTAAGGCTTCTTGCTGTGTAATAAATACACTTTTGAACCACAGAAAGAGAACTATGACAGGCTTTCAAAATAACGATTATTAACGAACCAAAATACAAATAAGAAACAACGGTATTAAGTTCATTTTACAATAGAACATGAGCTTGTACATATAAGAATTAAATCCAACTCTTCAGAGGAGCAATACCACATTTAATGAGTTCAGAATCTAAGAGTTTTCCATTTCTGGTCCGGGCTTCTATATACTCTTAATTTATATTTATGCCTCAGGCATATGTGAATAGTGAAACATCTGTTAAGAGAGCTTATTGAAAAATAAAAAAGCTGAATATGGCCAATGAAAGCCATTATTCCAAGGGCATATAGACAGAAATGATTGCTCGTCAGCATCTGGACTATTTACATCGAAATCACTATGGCTAGTCAGTTTATAAATCCAAAATAAAAGCATGAAGAGAGAAAAAAAGAACAAAATTAGTTTTTAGCTCTTTATGCTAAATCATTAACTTACATAATGGGAGGGAGTAAAACATAACAAATACCTACGCATATACACTTTTATATTTCCCATCTTTTCCAGTACTCGAGACCAGAATTTCATAGCCATAGAACTCTGGTACAGTAGTCTCATCTGTTTCGCCGTTAATGAAGCTGGAGGGAGGTGACCAGGTAAGTACTACTGTCCTTGCCTGGATGTCTGAGGCCTGCAAAAACATAGTATGTAAAAGCTCTTTGAAATAACTAATATGCACAATGTACAGTGAAAAATCTAATGGGGTTTTAAGGTTAAATAAAATATATCTGTACCTACTTACATACAATGACTCATAAATAGAAACCTGTCCTTTTGTAGATGAGATATAATTTGTTCTGAAAGGGTAGATGGGTTAAATAGAAGTTTAAAGACCATTTTGGACCATTCTACTGTGTAGAATTATTAGCGGAAAGTTATTAGTGTAAACACCATATACAGTTAAAAGAAAGAATGGGAGAAAAAACCCACTTGTTACATATTTGAAATATAGTTCATATTTGAAATAGTTCATTTCCTCAATTTATAAAGTACCTTACAATAAGAAAAAGACAAAAACAAAACCAAAAAAAAACTCAAGAGAAAAATGAGGAAAGGACATGGACTGTCCAAAGACATGTAAATATAAATGAATACATGAAATGATGTGTAACTGCATTTGTAAGTAAATAAATGTAAATTAACACAAGATACCACTTTTTATCCACCAGCATGTGAGGATATACGATTGTACTCCATTTTATGGAAGGAGAAATAGATTCAGAAAGGTTAAGTGACCTGTGTCAGGTTGCTCAACTCCTGAGCACACAGCTAAGACTAAGACTATAGCAATGCTCTCCCCACACACTGCACTTGGGTCACATGAGTGAGCTCTTCTTTTTTTTCCCTTTGGTTCCTCAAATGTACCGTGTTCAGTTCTTTTCAAATACTGATCAGTGTTTGCAACACTGTCCCCACACTCCCCCACTGTCCACAGTGCCCAACCACTATTTTTCTTTAAATTTCAGTTCGATCATCGTCTAGTCCACTATTATATATTCTTACAGCACCTTATCTCTTTGTTCTGACACTTTCCAGATATAATTTTGTATTTATTGCATGATGCTTTTTTACTCTACTAACTTAAGTTCTGAGGGCAGGGCCATGCCTGCCCTTCCCATTCTGTCTCCAGTTTCTAGCATAGCATCTGACATTTTGCAAATAGTCAAATATTTATGGAATGAATACATTTAATTTGGTATTCTGAATGAACTACAGCATGCAAAAACCACACACACACACACACACACACACACACACACACACACACACACACAACCCGACCTGTACATCACAGCTCACAAGAAATTTAATAAAAAGGCACAGCTACCCAAACTGTAAACAAACAAACAAACAAAAAACTAAAACAAAACAAAGCAAACCAAAACCATCAGTATTACTTTATGTTTTATGACACAGGGCTTATTATTTTATTAAATTACATCTTCCTCATAATATTGGGCAACAAATTCTTTAAAAAAATTGTTTCAAGTTTTATGTGCCTTTTATACTTTTTTAATTTTAATTATATTAATTAAATTAATTAAATTATATTTAATTTTAATTATATTAATTAAAATTATACTTTTAATTAATATACTATAACAAGTAAATGCCACTAGCATCAGCTATTATGTCATTCAAATAATTCTATTAAGGCTATCAAATTCCTTTTCTAGTTTATCTAGTGAGATATATTTGGATATATATAGATCTTGGAAGCATAATGCCTGAATTTCAATCCCAGCTTCAATACTACTTATTAAACCAACTCTTGCTTTACTTTTCTCATCTGTAAAATAGGGGAAATAGTAGAGAGGGTTGTTGTAAGAATTAAAGAAAATAATGCATATGTGTATTCAAAGCTCTTTAGACAGTCTGACACTAGTAAACTTGTGTTAGCTTTTATTATGAAATAATTCTGTATGTTTACATTAATTTACATGTATATGCTCAATTCTTAAGAGAAAACAAATTAGAATGAAAGAAAACTACAGCATCCAAATCTATTATTTAGGGTTGTCAGAAAACATAGGACCATAGTAGCCTATTAAAGTAGCGAATGTCTTACTCAAACTTCCTAAAATGGGGTAAAATTAAAAGGTAACCCTTTGTGGAGGTGATAAGAGTAACAACTTTTCTAACCTGTTCTTGTACAAAAATTAGAGCTAAGTATTTTTTGGGTACGTAGCACAAAATATTTTAGCATGGATTTTTTTGGGACGACAGGTAAGCTTTTTGTTTTGTATACCAAAAATAATTTTTATCAGTGTTTAATAAATGGCCTTATCCTGGCTGAAAAAGCCCTACTATCTACTTCTTCCACATCTTGTACTACCTCTTCCTTCCATTTTACCACAGTCTGGTGATAATGGTTCTTTCTATCTGGCAAACTTGCCATGCTTATTCTTGCCCTCCCTCTCCTATTCCTTCCAACTTTTGTGCCTTTTCTAACTCTTCGGAGGCTCAGAGAAAGCTTTCCTGAGTGCTCTGTTTAAATAACTCCCCTCTCCTCAGTAAGTCATAATATCACCCTATTCTGTAATAGCACTTTTTACAATCACACATGATTTTGTCTGTATATTTGTTTTTTATTTACTGGCACAGTAAAGGCTCAATACATATTCTGAGTGGTTGTCATGATGTCAATAAATATTTTGATTGACTTACTGAATGAATAACTGTATGTAGCTCTTCAAAGAATAATGCAATGACACAGGAAGACTGTTAAGGCATAACATAGTAAGTGAAAAGATCTTGCCACAGAGCAATAGGGTACAGTACAACTTCTTTTTCATAGAGACAAAAGAAAAAATTAATATTTTGGTGGATGGACATATACGAATGAACTGAAATTGGACTGGAATGAATCCCAAACTGTTAGGCATGATTACACTGGAGGAGTGGGTAAAGGAGATTTATTTTTACTCTCTATATTTATGTATTACTTACGTATTTTAACACATTAATTATGAAATATCTGGGATTTAATCAATCACTGGCACTTCTGTTAGCTTGCTTTTAAAATGGAGTCAAGTTATAGCTCTTATAAAAAGCAGAGGAAGAAACAGACTAATCTGAAAAACTACTGTGATATTTTGGTTTTCCTTCAATCTTCATCTTAATTTTTTCTAAAGCCATTTCTTCATAAGGCTGAAATCACAATGTCCAAATAATTTGATCTCCAGCATTTTTACCCACAAAAGCATCTTAGCGTGTTTCTGCAGTCTTCAAAACTATATTTTAAAAATGGCTATATCATTCTGTCCAGTAAAAACATTCCAATTTATCTATATATTCCTTTGTTTTATTTTTGTTAATATTAGTGTTGCAACATACATTTTTGTTTGTGTAGCTTTTTTATTGAGAAATGGGACCTCACAGTTTCAGAAGTTTAATTTATAGTTCTTTTATTTACTAGTGAAGAACCTTTGCGGTCTTAACGGGTTTAAAAAATACAATTTGTATGAGCATTTACTTAATCTTTTTGTTGTATCTGATCTAAATATTTTTCCTATTAGAATGATAGCCTTTATGTAAGCTATTTTAAAAATATGCAGAAAATTCTATGTAGCCAGTTCTGCTACCATGTCATTTTCTGACTTCTATTACATCTATATTTATAAAGCATTGAGGAATATTAACTTTCTTATACAGCTTGATTTTATTTAACTATTTTTGCATCTGGAGTTACTTGGATATATTTTATATGGAAATCATATAAATGGGTTTTTAAGAAATTGCTAATCAGCTGTACCCACACTCTTTATTAGATCTTTGCCTGGTTTAATGATTTTCAATGTCATTTAGCATATATTAAATCCTTGTTTAAAAAAATAAATTCTTGGTTGAATATTCTGCTTCACTGATCGTTTCTCTCCTCATGTCAGATCTATATGGATCCTTTATTGACCTCATATTCCTTATATAGAGTTAAGTTTTAAGTAAGGCCTGAACAAAAATATACCAAAATCAGGCTGGCCGAATAGCTCAGTGGTTAGAGTGTGTGCTCTTAGCAACAAGGTTTCCTGTTTAACTCCCGCATGGGATGGTGGGATATGCCCACCCGCAACTAAGATTGAACACGGCACCTTGAGCTGAGCAGCCACGAGCTGCCAACAGGTGGCCAGATGGCGAATGG